AGCCTATAGGCAGCAGATGGCAATTCGCATTGAAGTACGGACCTAATAGAAAAATTTCCAGGTTTAGGGCTAGGTTTGTTGCTAAAGGTTTTAGCCACTTTGAGGGAAGGGATTTTGACAAACGTATTCGCCTACAACCAAGTTGTCGACCCTGAGAATCGTCCTGAGCTTAGCAGTTCAAAATACGTATGAGGTGAGACAGTCAAAAATATAGTGGTTTGTGGAGCGGTTAAAAGTTTCTGTAGCTGATTTGAAAAGAATATCTCTGAAAGTATTGAGATAAACGAGATAAGTGATCTTAAATGGTTCTAGTTGATTGAAAATTGAATGCAAATTGATTACTCAGGAAACGAAAATAAAATAATTCAGGAGAAAAATGTTGAAAAATTGTTATCAAGAATTAAAATGACCGAAGCAAAACCAATAACAACCCCTCTCGTGAAAACAAAAAAACTGAAAAAAGAAGATTGTCCTTTAGAAGGTAGAATAGAATAAGAAAAGATGAAAAATTGTGACTATCGAAGACTTTTTGATTGACTAAATTACCTAGCTTTGTCGGGTAGACCTGACATTTGCTTTGCAGCAAATCTTCCAAGTTGTTTTGCGAAAAACTCAGGTGAAAACCTAGGAAAACCGGAAAAAATTGTCAAAATATCTTCTAGAAGCAAAAAGCTTACTTTTAGTATATAGGAGGGATAAGGCGTTGAATCTTGTTAGCTTTTCTGATGCGGATTTTTTAAAAAAATACAAATTTTAAAAAAAAAGTTTCTTGTTGGAAAATAGTCAAGCTTATCTGATAGGAATTAAGAGTGAAGGTAAACTCAAAGTGCAAAAGTCTAGAAACGTTAGTTTTGACAAGTCTAAATTCTCTTTTGAGAAAATATTAGAAAGTGACGAATGAGATAGTGTTTTTTGGAGAAAATCTCAAAATATATACCAAAAAAGGCTAAGGAAGCTTTGGCAGACCCCGAATGGCAAGAAGCCGAGAAAAAAGAGTTTGATTCATCAGAGAAAAACAAAGTTTGGGAACTAGTTAGAAATATAGGAGAGAAGCCTATAGGCAGCAGATGGCAATTCGCATTGAAGTACGGACCTAATAGAAAAATTTCCAGGCTTAGGGCTAGGTTTGTTGCTAAAGGTTTTAGCCACTTTGAGGGAAGGGATTTTGACAAACGTATTCGCCTTCAACCAAGTTGTCGACCCTGAGAATCGTCCTGAGCTTAGCAGTTCAAAATACGTATGAGGTGAGACAGTCAAAAATATAGTGGTTTGTGGAGCGGTTAAAAGTTTCTGTAGCTGATTTGAAAAGAATATCTCTGAAAGTATTGAGATAAACGAGATAAGTGATCTTAAATGGTTCTAGTTGATTGAAAATTGAATGAAAATTGATTACTCAGGAAAGGAAAATAAAATAATTCAGGAGAAAAATGTTGAAAAATTGTTATCAAGAATTAAAATGACCAAAGCAAAACCAATAACAACCCCTCTCGTGAAAACAAAAAAACTGAAAAAAGAAGATTGTCCTTTAGAAGGTAGAATAGAATAAGAAAAGATGAAAAATTGTGACTATCGAGGACTTTTTGATTGACTAAATTACCTAGCTTTGTCGAGTACACCCGACATTTGCTTTGCAGCAAATCTTCCAAGTTGTTTTGCGAAAAACTCAGGTGAAAACCTAGAAAAACCGGAAAAAATTGTCAAAATATCTGCTAGAAGCAAAAAGCTTACTTTTAGTATATAGGAGGGATAAGGCGTTGAATCTTGTTAGCTTTTCGGATGCGGACTGGGCTGTAAATATAGACAATAAGAGAAGTACCTCAGGATATTGTTTTAAGCTCACTGACAACTCAGGTGTGATAAGTTGATCTAGCAGATTTTAGCGTTGTGTATCAAATTCAACAGCCGAAGCAGAACACAAAACTGTGGCCGAAACAGGAAAGTGAGGAATTAATTTACAGGGCATCCTTAATAACTTAGGCATAATTTAAAATAGGCCTTTGGAAGTTTTCGATGACAACCAAGCTTGTATTGCCATTAGTATACATTCAATGAAGCATGGAAAAGCGTTTTGCCATAAAACTACACTTCCTTCGAAAGCTTTATTGAACAGAAGAAGTTGACATTAACCTCTTTACCAACAGCAAACATGCCTGCAGATGCATTGACGAACAAATTGGGAAGATGCAAAACTGCATTTTTCCGAGACATTTTATAGAAGCCTCCTGATTTCAAAGGTGGGGTTTTGGTGATTTTTCCTGACTGAACTGGAATTGATCTCTCTTATTTGGTTCAAACTGAAAGATTATTTCCCGATTCTGGTTAAAATTAGCTGGTGAAACATGACCTTTAGTCATTGGTTCAAGCAACTTTTTGCGGGTGATTTACCATAAATATTTGGTCTGAATTGCTACTGGAACGATCACTCAAATCTCAATAATTCACTCCTTATGAATCAACCGTTTGTCGCTGCAATAACCTTGATACGTTGGATGTCGGTGCCGAAGTTTCCGTTTTCAGGGATACTCCTTCCAAACTGTATGGTGGGCCACCAGGTAGTATCATTCTGCTAGAAGTATGCTGTCCTGCCGTGATAGCCTTCCAGATGACCAGTCTGATTCATCTCTTCAAAGAAGTTCATAAAATGTTTACAGCCTCATAAACTGTTTTCGAGCCGGCTCAGTGCTCTTCGCGAAAAGTTACCGATGCCTTGAACCACAATACTCTGTAAAAAGTCGTCTGCCCCTGTTAGAGCGCTGAAATGGGGAGTTTAAAGAGTGTGTGATTTTTTCAAGAAAAGTTTGGATTCATTTTCAGCAATGTCATGGAGAATTATGGCCAGAATTAGCCTTCATGGGTGACTTTAGTCTTCAACGGTGACTTCTGATTCACTCCTAGGACTCGATTGCATGACTACAATGCGAGTTTCTGCAAACTGTGGATGCAGTAACAGAAATGAGTTGACTCTGGTACAACAGTCAGTCAAAGCTCGTAATTTGACCTTTTCTCCACCTCATGTTAGAACTGTAACTTGTGCAATGGATGAATTAAGATAGGGACCAGTTTGAGTTTATGTAAGCTATATAAGTTTGTTTCTTTTCTGTCTGGGGACCTGCTGTCGTGACCTTGCGATCTCTATCGTCCGGTACGAACTAAAACAGAACGCTGCAGTAAGATTTATATTTGATGCCTTACAGTTGCTTTACAATTCAAGTTAAACAACTATCCTTTCTATACTACACAATAATCTACTTCAACATAGCGCAGTCAGCAGAACGAAAAGGAGGGGGGAAATCCGCTTAATATTGTATCATTCTGGGACGCACGTACGCCAGAACCCCCTATCTATTAGGAGGAGTGGATCATAAAGTTCCACTGGGGGATGATCGCAAAATATGACATTGATCCTGACAATTTTTATGTTGCGCGTACGTTAAATGCGGCGGCTATTGCAGCGTTGCCAGAGGATGTAAATGGGAAAAATCGTACCCAGTCGGAGAAGAAGTTGAAGTCTAACCTATATCTCTGTATTGGAGACGAGGCGCAACGGATATTTAAAGCCCGAAAACCGATGCAAAATTGCATTTTTCCGAGACATTTTTTTAAAGCTTCCTTATTTAAAAAGCGGGGTTTTGCTGATTTTTCCTGACTGAACTGGAATTGATCTATCTTATTCGATTCAAACTAAAAGATTATTTCCCGAGTTTTGTTAAAATTAGCTGGTGAAACATGACCTTTAGTCATTGGTTCAAGCATTTTTGTGCGGGTGATTTACTATATATAAATGATCCGAATTGCTACTGGAACTATCCTTCAAATCTCAATAATTCACTCCTTATTAATCAACCGTTTATCGCTGCAATAACCTTGATACGTTGGATG